TTAGCAAGCAAAGACGATACACCAAAAATAAGAATATACTGCAAATTTGTAGTTGATCCCTAAGATCAAGATTTGTGAACGTAGATAGATTTGTAATAAAGTTAAAATACGTATTGATATAAAATAATGATATGGATAATCTATGGCTAACACTTGGGAAAGGAATAAACTACACCTGATTTACATGATAATGACAAGTATTAACCAAGCTTAACACCTGGGACAAGAATAACGATAAAATACACCTGATTTACAGGATAATGACAAGTATCAACGAAGCCTAACATCTTGAACAAGGATAATGATAAACTACACCTGATATTCAATATAAAGATAAAGAAAAACTGATATTAACATGTATGATAAGGATGATGATTAACAACATCTGTTCTAGAGGATGAAAATAAGTATTACCTAAAACAAATATGTAGGACAGGGGTAGTCAAAAACTACCTATGATATACAGAATGAAGATAGGTATGACCTAAACAAAACATGTAAGACAGGGTAGTCAAAAACTACTACACATGATGTGTAGAATGAATATAAGTATGACCTAAACTAAACGTGTAGGACAAGGATAGTTAAAAATTACACATGATATACAGGATGGCGATAGGCACGGCCTAAACCATACATGTAAGACACGGATACTTAAAAACTACACATGATATACAGGATGGAGATAGGTACGGCGTAAACCATACATGTAGGACAGAGATACTTAAAAACTACCCATGATATACAGGATGTAGATAGGTATGACCTAAACCAAACATGTAAGAAAGGGCTACTTAAAAACTACGTATGATGTACAGAATGAACATACGTAGACCAAAGTCAAACGTGTAGGATAGGGATGGTGAGAAAACACATGTGATACAAAGGATGAAGATACGAATGAACCGATCCCAACATCTAGGCTAGATATAGGGTTAACTGATAGTAATAAATAGAAATGGAATGGTGATAAACCATATCTGAAAGACAGAATAAAGTCAGGAATGAGCAAGACAAGGATAATGATAAACTATATTTGATATACAGGATGGAGATAAAAATTAACTGATTCCAACATATAAAACAGAATGTCGTCTGATATACAGGATGGAGATAAAAATTAACTGATTCCAACATATAAAACATAATGTCGTCTGATATACAGGATGGAGATAAAAAGTATATCAGACGACATTATGTTTTATATGTTGGAATCAGTTAATTTTTATCTCCATCCTGTATATCAGACGACATTATGTTTTATATGTTGGAATCAGTTAATGTGCATTGTGGTAATGTAGTCTCCGAAGCTTGACAGCAATATGAGAAAACTCTGTGAAAGTGTTATTTATATCTTGGTGTAATTTATTTTCCATAAAATTATTTGTTGTTACTTTATAAACTGAACTTTATACTTCCAGAGAAAGAGTGGAGAAACTGATGGAAATCAGAGAAAATGCACGTTACACGATTTTATATACGTTTGTTCGAAATATATTTCTAAGTGTCTAGAAACCACGTTGAGATCATTTTCGTCCCTATCAGAGATGTCAGACGCGGTCTATGTTTATCTTACATAACAGAAGTAGTTCATCACTATTCCTAATATTAGATTTAATCAGTTCATTTGTCTATCACGTATCAGATGTAATTCATTCCAATCCTAGATATTCAGTTCATCATTATCTTTATCTCATATACCAGACGAACTTATCACCATCCCTATTCTAGATGTTGGAATCAGTTTGTACGAATCTCTATTCTAGAAACAGTTGTCCTCGTACACTAGATGGCGTATGGAAAGCAGTGTGTTTTGGAAATGTAAGCCTTACGACGGAGCCTTTTGCAATGAAACTACGGTGCAGGTCTATTGTAAAGATACATTGTCGTTAGTTAGAGCATGACCAGATGACAACATGGAGTGCAACGATGTGATGAGGCTCCAAAATCGTTTTAATATAATGTACTCAACCCTCAGAATACCGGGCATTATGTACACCATTCGTGTTGGTAACTTAACCAATAGTCTCCAGAAAAAAAGACAGTCTGCTGTGTGCTCACTTTTAGCTAGCATTATGGCAAATGTACAAAACTACACAAGAAATACACAGACGGCTCGTCCGACGCTTTGACCGGTATGTCTCGCATGGAATAGCATTAATACCCATTTCATTCTCCAGATGCTTGAGGTATGCCATGGTTTAACTGGTGGTGTGACTGGAG